ATGGTCGATTGCCTCTTACTAAGTGATAAGACATAGACATAGACATTGACGGTCTAGTTCTATCCTTGGACGCGAATGAAGACAAAAAGGATTGAGAGGTGAAGGCTGTTTCGCAAGAGACTAAAAATGCACTTTCGAATTGCAATTTGTTACTTGGTATTTGGCAACATGACTTTAGTGTACATCTAAAGTATCTAAAGTTCTCGCTTATATAGTGAATGCGCATGTTAATTAATAGTTGGAAGATGCTATAGAATTTTTATCTTGATTTGTTTTGTCACATTCAAAACTTGTATAATGCCGTCCGTTTCTGAAATGGCTTCAAATGTTTTTGTGCTAGATAACGGTGGATATACCGCAAAAGCAGGATTTTCATCGGATTCTCAGCCGAGGTTTCCTTTCCCTCCAAACTTTGAAAGCGAAATACTGTATTTATATACTTATTGTTTTAATATAATTCGAACTTTTTTAATATAATGTTCATTTTTATTTAATAGAGTTATACCTAATTGTATTATGAAAGCCAAAAGTGAACGAAGGCGGCAGTTCATTGGTAATCAGCTGGATGAATGCAAGGATTTTTCAGCATTATATTACACTTATCCTTTCCAAAGAGTTAGTTATTTTTTATTTAATTCTGAAGTTTTGAAACGATAATACATTTGTCTTTCTAAATTTATGATAAAAGTGTTGGGAAATCTGTTCCTAATATGAACTCTTATTACATTCACAGCGACATAAATTTATTACTGAACGCACTTTTGCAATTTCTTGTACGTAATTTTTTAAGGTATTTTAAATCAGATTTAATACAGCAGAAATGCCTATACATGAACTTATTTATTTAATTTCAGAATTATGTAAAAGGTGATAAAACATAGATGATAGTAAAATCGTGAAAATATTAATTACTTCTCTTAATACTACTTTAAATTTAAAAAATTCATTATAATTATAAAATTTCATGAAGCACTATGAGGAAACTTTAGTATAAAAATGGAGTTTTTTTAATAGTTCTAGAAATTGTATTTATGCTAAAAAATTGCACATGTTGTTTAAATAAAAGGATCCAGCGAAATTTATCTAACAGCTATTAATTTTAAATAACTGAAAGCACTGTAAATAAAGTCTGGAATTTTGTCAATATTTACTGTATGATATATTATGGAAAAAATGGGTGCACATTTTACCATGAACTAAAAAATCAATTCATATTAAGAGCATTTGTTTTTCTTTTGATGATTTTTTCAGACTTTAAAGAATTTTCTGAGCTTCATGAATGGTTAATTATTAATGAATTGTTCACATGTGTTGTACTGAGGGTGTAGTTGGGAGCATCCCTGGAACACAAATAAAAAAAAAACTGCCAACAGCAATAGTTTTAGTGATATAAGCTCAAGTTTTGAAATAAAATATGATATTATATAAATAAATATTATAAAATTTAATATACTATTTTATAATATAAACAAAATTATATTAATATACCGTAAAATTACGGGTGTCCCTTGCAATTTTTGGCACATGATACTGAGTTTGTGTATTCTTTTACTTTTTCTTTTGGCTTTGTACAGCGACGACTTTTTGGCGCAAAAATCGGTGCTACACAAAGCCAAAATAACAATTGAAAAATTGCACAACTCCTGTCCTGTGCACATCAACCTTTTTTCACTCAAAAAACACAGGAATTGCACCATTTGTATGTGGCCTCCTTGACTTTGTCCATGTCATCTTGATCATTTTCACTGAAAAAGTGAAAGGACTGCCACAAATATTATAATCTCAGTAACTACATTTTAATTAACATCAATAACATAAAAGAAATTCATTATAGCACCACACAAGGAAATATCCCTTACCTTATTACAAATTTCGTTCTCATCAACAAATTCGGTTAATTTTTGGATTATGTAACTTGCGATTTTTGGCGACCGACCTGCACGCACTGCTGTTTTTTTTTTTTTTTTTTTGACACTATTTTGTTTTTACAAAGTAAAGGCATTTTTTTTTTTCCTCAATTTTTTTCCCAACAATCTGCTAGCCAATTTCTTATGCTAGAACTTAATGGAACAAGTGCTTTATCATGACGAAGATAGGTGCGAAATTGGGAGAAAGTGCTTGCAACTGCTTGCCCGTTTTTAAGAATTGCACATACACAATATCCATGTACATCGACCATTTTCACTTAAAAAAAATCCCAGAATTGCAAAAAATGGCATTGCACACTCTTGACTTTATCCATGTACACTGCTAAAGTCCTAGCTAGTAACCTTTATTGCCTTATCAAAATGTCGCCATACTACCTGTTGCCATATTCCAAAGATTAGCCCAAAATTCCTTAACAGCATCTAAAAACTTCCTAAAATTATCTGAATTAGAATCTGTATATTGACATTGTCACATGAATTCACAATGAGTCTAAAATATCTTCCGACATTCGACCATACGCATTTCCTTTATACAAACAGGACACATATAATGGCTACTAAGTAAACCTTCATTTACACACCAGTCAATTAATACTCTTTTCCCCTTTTGTTCCAAATCATACAGAAACTTCGGTTGATCTTTGGATTATGGTAACTTGGCGAAAATTAGGCGACCAACTCTGCTACAGCAACCTTCTACTTTTTGTTTCGGCGTCAAAGACATGATTCTTTTCTTTTTATTTACTGAACACATTTTCCAACAATCTGCTAGCCGAATTACACTTACGCTAGAAATTTTATGGAACAAAACTGCTTAATCATGACAAATATTAACTGCAATTGGGAAAAAGTGCAGAATCACAAACTTCTTGCTGCGTTTTTCAGAATCGCCCCCCGTCATGTACACGTCGACTTATTTTTACTTAAAAAAACATCCCAGAATTGCACAAAATGGCATTGCACACACTCTTTGACTTTATCGTACACTTCTTTTTTCCATAAATTAGAAAAATTTGCACGCAGGAAAAATAGGAAAAAGCCCATATATGAAATTACCGGTCGCGAAAAAGTAATACCCTTTCCCAGGATGAACATTCCCACGTATAAATAATAAAAATCCAAAACTTTCCCTCTAAATTATCTATTATAAAACGTCACCAACAATTTATAAGCAGACTTTAAAAATGGTTACAATACGTAGTGTCAAAATTTAAATTATTTCCATGCACGATTACTTCTACTGAAACGTATTTCAAATTGTACAACATATAATTCACAAGTACCTATCATTTAATTAAAACATACTTAAAACCATATACACTCGACTTATTTTTACTTAAAAAACATCACAGAATTGCACAAAATGGCATTGCGCACACTCTTCATTATATCCATGTACACTGCTTTTTTCTCATAAATAGAAAAAACTTCACGAAATGAGGAAAATTTTGTGAATCTAAATTCGGTAAAAAGGACTATATGAAATTACCTGATCACAAAAAAGTATAACCCTTTCCAGATGAACATTTTCACGTATAAATAAATAAAAATCAAAAACTTTTCCCTCTAAATTAGCTATTATAAACATCCCTGCAAATTTATAACGCAAACATTAAAATGGTTCCAAATACTTAGTGTCAATATTTAAATTCTTTCATGCACATTTACTTCTACTCAAAACGTATTCCAAAATACTACAACCTAAATCTCATTAAATTAAAAAACACACTTAAATATAATAGCACATACATTAAATTAATAAAATTAGCTTACAATCCTATTACTTTAAAAACTAATTCATTGCTAATAACAATTTTCCAATAATGCCATATTAACTTATACCTTACATACATAAAAATAGTATCCTCAAATGATTAAAAATACTAACTTGCCTAATCTTCTTCACAATCTTGATTGCATGGTGGATAAACTTTTCTTACAGATTCAATAATCCAGTAGTCAACTGGCAATCTATTCACCCACTAATAAGAAATTAATAAAAATTTCACCCATACTCAACGACTTTCAGAAACCAACGTACCCTTCCTACACCTCCATTTCACAAATGTCCATTTTCACCAGATTTCTTGCACGCCATTCAAACTTATCTGTACTATCCTTCCTTTCACACAATCTCCTTTCATTCCCTTATGTTGGGACATTCATACTTATCCCAATTAATCCTCCTCATACACCATTCAAGCATTCTTTTGGATTACACATAACACAATAAATTTTGATTTACTTTAGATAGGGCCATGGGATCCAAATATTAAGCAACACTGTTTCACAGAACATAGAATGAAGCTAATGCTATAAAGGGCAGCAGATATTTTACAAATTTACCCCCTTTTCCGATTAAAGAACTGGGATTCCCATAAATGGCACATGAATATCTCATGATCTCTCATTTCCCTCACACAAAATAATGCGTAATCAGAACTGAGTGCTTCTCACATTATTCCCTAAGTCCTAGGTAGTAACCTTTATCGCCTACCAAAATGTCGCCAAACTACCTGTTACCATATTCCAAAGATTAGCCGAACTTCAAATTAATCGTACCACATTCAGCCATTTTACTTTCTGAACCTCAAAAAAGCAAAGTACTTCCTCTTCAACACATGCCATAAGCCCTTACACATCTTTTCCCATCATTCATATTCACCGATATCACACAACCAATTACGTGATAATAGAGTTTCCATAACTTTTAACTACTCAGGTTACCATAAATGAAACAACTTTGGGATAATACAAGGGGCACCCTTAAATCTAGTCTAACCCATGATGTTTAGTACATAGTATGATGTTAAACAGCCCAAAGTTAGTACTGTTCTGTTATGGGTACCGAATTCAGAAACGTATTTTGTTTAAATTATGTACCTTGTAAATGTTGTATTTAATATTCAGATTTGAACAAAAGTCTGAATTTTTTTAATGTTATGCGTATTGGTTAAATGTTACAGAAAAAGAGAGTGAACATGCAGCTGAAGAGGTCTTTCTTAAAATGGATCGTTGAGACAATTTCAGTATATCATTTTTTACTATTCTTATATTATTTTTAGAAAAAATTTAATTTTGATTTGTCTTTTTTCCATAAACTTAGCAAATTTCTTGTAATTCTGAATTATTATCCTGAGCAATATAATGAATTTTAGTCTTTTTTAGAACCAAATTCTGACACAACAGATTCATTTATTTCCAGTTTATTTGGTGATGTTTTTTACCTTTTCTGACAGTTGATCATCTACTAGATGTGTCTGGTCCTACATATTGCAGCTGCCATTAACTCTTTCCCACCGAAATCGCTCAAAGCACCCGACCATTCAGACATTAGCAGGTCACCCGAATGCCTGAATCATTTTTTATATACAGTCAAAAGTCTTTAATCCGGACTCGTCGGGACCTCGGTGATTCCGGATATATATGCTCGGTGCTATAGATCAGCAATTTAAATCTGGTAAGATGGCATGCAGAAATTATAAAATTAAAAATATGAAACTGTAATTTATGAAATAAAGAACAATTATGATCTAAGGGGTATCAAAATTTACACAAAAAAAAGCTTAATATTTATTTGTTTACTTATTAAACAGTTCTTTCAATGCGCGCATGCGTAAAGCATACATTACGCATAGATAAAATTAGAAATTGCAACCAGAAAAACTATTTGATGCGTATTCGTGA